TTTACCTTTTTCCCATTTTTAATCCTTTAACGGTTAAGAGCCAACATTATATAAACAACGAAAATTTAAAAGCGGAAGACTGAAACGTAATATTTTAATAAAGATATCAATATCAATTCATACGTAAACTACCCAAAACTGGTGTCACAATTTCACAGACTGTCTAGGAATACTACAAATAGAGGTCCGGAAGAGTTATTACAACACTGTCTTTGAAATACATAAAAGAAACAGAATATAAGGATAGAGGGAGACGCCAAGGTCTACGGACGCCTGCAGGACTACCTCGGATCTCCGAATGGACTGAAGGCAGCAACCCCAAAGCTATAGTCCAAAAACTGTTGCACCGGAATCTGCACATAGTGCAGAGTGTAGTATCAGCACAACCGACCCCATGTGCTGGTAAGTGCCTAGCCTAACCTCGGCGAAGTAGTGACGAGGCTAGGACCAGACTACCAAATAAACCTGTGCAGTTAAATCATATACATCGGAAAATAAAAGCAGGAATATACAGTTAAGAATGGCAGGGGGAAACATGATGCGGGAAAACATCAATGATAACAGAAGGACAGCAGGTAAATATAAGGAACACCACAACTCGATTATCAACAAGAATCAGAAATCAAACAAGTGCACGACATCACTCTTCGTGCTTTTACTCTCGTCTTCACCATAAGAATCAATATAATCACCCTTCGTGCTTTTACTCTCGTCCTCACCATAAGAATCAATATAATCTGCGCGGCATCACCCTTCGTGCTTTTACTCTCGTCCTCACCATAAAATCAAAATAATCGGTACGGAATTGTACATCGTGCGGCACGGCATCACCCTTCGTGCTTCTACACTCTTCCTCACAAAATCACACACGGCATCACCCTTCGTGCTTTATCACTCTCTCACCAAAACAATGCACGGCATCACCCTTCGTGCTTTAACACTCTTTTTTACCCAAACAACAATCACAAACAATTAGGGCAAGGAAATAAATAAAATCACAATAAAATCGCGGCAGGGGAACAATATCAAAAACATCAACATCCCAGCAAGGGAGATAGCATTAAAAACAACATCCCGGCAAGGGAGAAAATATAATAATCCTCTTCTCTTTTTCACATTTACTTCACAACTCACTTCACAACTTAAGCCAATGCTTTATAAGGTTCAATTGCCAATTATACTTCCACAATTCATTTTACAACTTGAGCCAACGCTCTTCAATATTCAAATACCAACATTACTTCCACAAGCGTTGCTCAGCAATAGAAATCATCACATAAGGTATGAACAATACAAACGGAGTCACATTAACCATAATATAAGACTCACGGGCATGCTTGACACCAACGATACTCGTCACCATGCCTATACGTCGTACTCAACAAATAACACATAGCAAATAGGACACAACTCATAATCCCTCAAGCTAAGGTTAGACCAAACACTTACCTCGGCTCCACGAACACAATTCAAGTCTCAACTATCGCTTTACCTCTTGATTCCACCACCAATTCGCTCGTATCTAGCCACAAGTTACTTAACTATATCAATAAATGCTAAATGAATCAATTCCAATGCATGAAAATCGGTTTTCTAAAGTTTTTCCCAAAAAGTCAAAAACCGCCCCCGGGCCCACATGGTCAAAATCCGAGGTTCGAACCAAAACCTGATTACCCATTCCCCCACGAACCCAAATATATAATTTGTTTTGAAATCGGACCTCAAATCGAGGTCCAAATCCCCATTGAAAACCTAGGTTCTACCCAAAACACCCAATTTTCCCATGAAAACCCTTGATTTTGAGTTGAAATCATGTGAAAAGATGTTAAAGATTGAAGAAAACGAGTTAGAAATGACTTACAATCGATTTGGAGAAGGACTTTTATTTGGAAAATCGCGCAAAAGAGTTTATGTTTTGAAAGAGTTTGAAAAATGAAAGATTTTCGGCTAAGTCATGAATTTGCAGGTCGCAGATGTTGCAATTGCGACCAGGGTTCGCAATTGCAAACCCTTCAGAACCTGCTAATCTCGCATTTGCGATCACTGTTCGCAATTGTGAACTCGCATTTGCGATGGGAGAGTCGCATTTGCGACAACGGGGATTTCTGGGCCTCTTCGCAATTGCAAAGAAATGATCGCATTTGCGATCAGGCCTTCTCTCGCATTTGCAATGGTTTATTCGCATTTGCGAGCGCGAAGCCTGCAGACCTGCAACATACCAGCAATTCCTAAGTGCAAATTTCACTCCGTGGCCTATCCAAAACTCACCCGAGCCCTCGGTGCTCCAAACCAAACATGCACACTAACCTAAAAACATCATACGGACTTGTTCGTGCGATCAAATCACCAAAATAACATCAACAACTATGAATTTAGCATCAAAATTAAAGAAAATCTCAAGAACTTTCAAAGTTTCAAATTTCACAACTAAAGTTCCGAATCACGTCATATGACCTCCGTTTTTGTCGACTTAAATCACATATAAGACCTGTACCGGGCTCCGGAACCAAAATATGGGCCCGATACCATCAAATTCCAAACACATTTCATTTCCAAAAACTCATATATATTCCAGAAAACATTTTTTAAAAAAATTCATTTCTCGGGCTTGGGACCTCGGAATTCGATTCCGCGCATACGCCCAAGTCCCATATTTTCCTACAGACCCTTCGGGACCGTCAAATCACGGGTCCGGGTCCGTTTACCCAAAATGTTGACCGAAGTCAACTTAAATTCATTTTAAAGGTAAAATTTATCATTTTTCATAGATTTTCACATAATGGCTTTCCGAATACGCGACCGAACTGCGCACGCAAATCGAGATGAGACAGAAAGAGGTTTTAAGGCCTCGAAACACAGAATTTTATTTTATTTTATTTTAAAACATTGACGACCTTTTGGGTCATCACAGCTTTACCAATTGCATGCAGGTTATGCCCCCACTAGACTTTTATGACCTGTATTAAATTTGAATGGCAAATTCTCTGAAAGCAATCAAGTTATTCTTGTCTCCTTCCCCCTTTTGAATTTGTCTGCAAACCAAATGAAATGAAAATGTTTTCCTTGTGACTGCTTTCTCAAACTGATGAGGGAATCAGTGAAAATGACAGTCTGCTACTTCATTTTTTCTAATGTAGTAAGATCTACTAATGGATGGGGAAGTGCAAGTATATGCGCCATATACATATCTGGAATTTCTCACTATGTAGTTCAAAACCCCAAATGATAGTTTCGATAACTCGTAGATATAGGTCTGTGAAAGCAGTATATCTACTAGATTATACTCATTTAAAAAAACAAGAAAAGAAAGATACACTAGATAACATTTGATTCTAGTGATAAATATTTTTTGAAGACATAAGGTTTTGGTCTCCACTTATTAAGTTAATCCAACCTTGTTCTTTATCCCCTTAATAAAATCACGGAGTGATAAAAGTTCCTCTACTACAAAACTGTATCGGTTGGGGAAATAATTGAATTTTTTTCTTTTCAGGTACCAATGCTGATATTATGAAGGTTGGTGGATACAAATTATCAGCATTGGAAATTGAAGCAGTTCTGTTGGAGGTAGCTGTTTGTCTATCTTTTTATCTTAATTTCCTCGGGTTTCTATTAAAGTTTGATTATTCCCGTTTAAGATATCTGTCAGAATTAAGATTCTGACAGTCAGCATTTTCACCCTGTGTAATCAAATTTCCTTTTCACAGCATCCAACTATATCAGAATGCTGTGTGTTAGGCTTGCCTGACAAAGACTATGGCGAAGTGGTATGTACAATAGTTGTGCCTGAGGGCGAAGTGAAAAGAAGACGAGACGAGCAGCTAAAGCCTGCACTAACCTTGCAAGAACTTTCTGATTGGGCGAAGGAGAAACTTGCCCCTTACAAGGTATCACCCTTAATTTGCGGTGTTAATTCTTACTTGAGCTTATGAATCATATTTTGATGTTTCGGGCGATATTGTTTCTATGATTTGGTTTTCATGCGAGATGTTCTGGTATCCCAAGTATTAATGTGCTTAAACTAATTCTTGCCATCTAATAACTGTACTCCAGATACCAACTCGTCTGTTTCTTTGGGACTCGTTGCCTCGAAATGCTATGGGAAAGGTAAGATAATCCAAACTCCCTCCCGACGTTATCTCCCACCGTTCTTTCACTTCCCTTGTTTATTTCATTTTGAATCCAAACAATCATGGCAATAAAAAAGCACATTTGATGCCCTTTTCTCTATATCAGGTAAATAAGAAAGAGCTGAAAAGAAACCTGGCTGAAGATCCCAAACAGGTTTAAATTGGTCAGAAAGCAATTTGATGACGTGACGGAATATCAGAAAGTAAAATAATGCTCTAACCTCTTGAAGAATATTATCCAGACAGTGATTGAAGTATATTCTGCTGGAAAGTGCAGAATTTTAGATTTTTATTTACCTTGGAGAAAAGATAATTCCTCTGTAGTTTGCAATTCAAAGGATACTAGGAATTTTAACGAGACGATGTTTGAGAATTGAACTTCGAAAACGTTTTTGAGTTATACATAGAACTTGAACTCTTATTAAATGTGGTCTTGATCTTGAAGCTTTGTCACAGATGAACTGGGGAAGATATGATATAATTGAGCTCAAGTTTTATCACATTTTACTGCCCCAAAAAGACGCTGTTAGCTAAAACAAAATATTTTCTAGTAAATACGTCCGTGACAAAATAATATTTCTTTCCTAGTGTTGCCTAAATCGTAGAAGGTTTTTTTCCCTATAACTTACTCCTTGAAGGGTAAAAATTATATTTGCCGTACAGCTTTTATTCCTAGTGTTGCCTAAATTATATTCACCAAATATGTTGACACTTTTTACGATTTTACATCCAACTACGCACTTTTAAATGATTTAGGAATTGATTTTTGTGAGCTTAATTATTATGGAAAACATTTGGAAGATAAATAGGGATGCAATTCGCTTGGAAGAAATAGTAAAAATAAACAAGTGATAAGTAATAGTTAAAAAAGCTTTCATAGCTCAGTTGGTTAGAGCACCCGTTTAGTAAGCGGGGGAGGTCTTGAGTTCGACTCTCAATGAAAGCAAACTTCTTTTTTCCAGCTTGAAGTTTTGCCGTTTATGTTATTTGATTCCTTGCTCTCTTGCTCTTTATATTCTAGAACTCCGGATTTCATTGTTTTCTTATTTCAATAACCTTATCTTCCACTACTTGACTCGTCGCTTTCTTAATTCTTTTTTCTTTTAATGGCTCGGGGACAAAAGAAAACACCAACGAGAAGATGCTGATTAAACAAACGAAAAACCTAAAAACACTTGTAACATTTATAAATACTATGTATACACTAAACAACTAGCTTAACAGGAATTCAAGTTAAGCTGGCAATGGTCTAAGTGGTGAAGACACATTCTCCTGTGGCATATCACCATCTCCTTCTACCATTTTCTTACTCATATTCTCAACACAAGGTCCATATGCCCAACTACAAACCATAAAATAAAGCAAATTAAAACCTGTCATAATTGCAAGAAGCCAGTAATAGTTCTCGTAGCGACCTCTGTTAATATTGCTTGAAACCCAACTTTCTTTCCCTTCTCGTTTAGTAAGATTATCCACATTGCTCAGTATCACACTTGCCAACAGATTTGCTACAGCCATTCCTAGTCCAAACATAGCAGCTGCTATACTTGACATACTTTTTGGAAGCTCAGAATAGTAGAACTCGGTTTGGCCAATTGCATTGAATGCCTCTGCTATTCCGTTTAAACAATGTTGTGGTATAAGCCACATTGCTGACATTGCCACGACGCCTTCAGGATTGTTCAAAAGACCTTGCTTGATTGCCTTTCCTCGCCGAATATGTTCTATGATCCCGGAGATTAACATGGCCATGCAAGAGAAGAATATCCCAATTCCCATTCTTTCTCTAGTTCCAAGACGAACTGGTTTTCCTCTGATTCTTGATGCCAATGGAAGGATAGCGCGATCATATAGGACAAGCCAAATTGTTAAAGCAATGATGGTAAACATTCCAAAAGACCCTGCTGGGATTTCGATGCTTTTAGTTATATGTCTGTTCATGGAATTAGCTTGAAGTAAAGGGAATGAACTTTGGCTCAAGTTTATCGATATCATGATCCCTGTTGACCACAATGGCATGACTCTAATGAGCGATTTTAGGTCCTCAACTTGCTCGACTGTGCGAAGATTCCATGGATCGACTGCAACGCCATCTTGCTTAACATCTTCAGGGCATTTTATGATGCAAGCCTTGTTTAAGAACCTAAAATATAGGAAACATCAGCTTCTAAATAGGAAAACAAACAAAAGGGCAGTCTGGTGCACTAAGCTCCCGCTATGCGCGAGATACGGGAAGGGCCGGACCACAAGGGTTTATTGTAAGCGGTTTTACCCTGCATTTCTGCAAGACTTGAACCCATGATCTCCTGGTCACATGGCATCAACTTTACCAGTTACGCAAGGCTCCCTTAAATAAGAAAAACAAAAAGGTAATAAATCCTAGAATAAACTCAAGAGTTTTGTCACACCTCAATTTGTTCGTTGGCACGGAAAATTCTGAACCTTTGTTGTGATGGTAACCAGAATTCTCAGAAGGATAAGCAACTTTCCTATTCTTATAAGCAACCACAATTACTTGTACTAATCTGCTAAACAAGTTTTTACTAGCCTTTTGCTTGATATAAAGTGGAGAAGCAAGAAAAAACAGCAGACCAGAGAAGAACATAATTATAGCAGGAACTCCAAAGCCAACTTTCCATCCCATGTGATCTTGAAGGTATACAATACCGGTCATAGCAATCAGAACAGAGATCATAGCTGAAGCATAGTACCAGTTAAAAAATGTCTCCAATACGCGTTTGTTATTAGGATTATCGGGCTTGTCAAACTGATTTGCACCGAATGCTAAAGAACATGGTCTTACACCACCAGCACCAATCGACATTAGCATAAAAGAGGAAACCAAGAGTGTATATTGAGCCGGCGTTGCAGATTTACACGCCTGAACTGATAGATCGCAAGGGGAAGGCCTTGCTTTGGGAATCATTGCTGTTAACCACAAGAGAACTGCACCCTGCAAATGGGACATTAAGATGTTGAGTAGCAGTAACGGATACAGAATTTCAAGAAGATGAGTGCATCACTATCTTTAACATATATATTTAATTTGGTTAGATGAAATTCAATGATAAACGATAACTAAATGAGTAACTATAATTAGTTGATACTATCATCTCAACAAATAATCATTAAGTTTACAATAAGCTGTAGAAGTTTATTCTTTTTGATAACCAGTTAGAAGTTTATTCTTTTAACAGCTAATTAAACACAAGAGCTGGTATTGCTCGATATATTTAAAATTTAACATTTGAAGATTGTTTCTGAATTTGAATATGACAAACTAAAAGCAGATCAGGAATATTCAGGTCTAACAGAACTTTTAAATCATCTTTTGGCAAAAGCTACGTTTAGGCAGGTTAAGCATCTGACATATGTGTAGTTTATGACCTCGATTAATTCCACTGAGTACCTGCTATCATCTAAGTTGCAGACTCTTCGATTTTGGTTTCGTCCCCGTCCCGATACGAGACGGGGATGCGGACCGGGACGGGATACGTCCCGGATTCGGTCAACCGACTTCGGACACTTTGACCGGAGTCCATCGACAAATTTGGGAGAAAAATTGAGATTTTCATTTCTCAAAGTCAAAAATAAAACAGATTTAGGACAATGAAAGAATAATGTCCATCTTGGAGAATGAAAGATTGAATTCTACAATATTCATGTAAGTTTTTGACATAATATCTCTCAAAATTTACAATATTTTTATAGCTCTGTTTTTTATTAGTCGAATACACGCACCTGTATCCATATCCGGATCCGCACCCCCAATCTTAAAATTTAAATTTTGCCGAATCCGATACTCGGATCCGTCCCCGTATCGAATACCCGCACTCGAGACCGAGCAACTTAGGCTATCATCCACAGGATATGTACCAGGTAAATCTAATCAACAGGACATGGGCAGGATTTGAAACTGGCTTCTTTCAGGCCCTACTTGAATTGCTTTCTTCAAAAAAACTTTCTTTATTAAGAGTCCTTTTAGAAGTTAAGCTCCTTCAAATAATAAGATTAATTCGCTTAACCTCATACCTCTAAGCGCTCGTGACTATCCGATGATAGTCACTTCGCCTTCCTTTTAGAAACCTGAGACATGATTCAGCTCCCACTTTATTGACCGGTAGGTCACACCCTTAAATGAAGTTTAAGCTCCCGCTAGGCGCGGGGTGCGGAAAGGGTCGGGCCAAAAAGGTCTATTGTACACAGCATTAACCTGTATTTCTCAAAGAAGCAGTGTTCACGGCTCGAACTGTGACCTCCTGGTCACATGGCAAAAACTTTACCAGCTATGCCAAGACTCCCCTTTGACGTTTCTTCCAAATAGAATCAACTAATATTAGCAGTAAATAAGATAATCACGCACTGTACAGATCTAAACTGCATTGGATCCTCTGATTAGAATAAACTGTGCTAAAAACTAGTACTAAATAAAATTTTGTCAGCCTAAGATATAAGAAGTAGCACTGTAATTCTATTTTGCACTATTGAGATATACTCAGGTATAGGGATCCAATCACAGTCCTTCCTTCTTCTCCCTCCCTCTCCTCCAATATTCATGAGCCCACCAACAGAAGGAACAAGAAGAAAAAAAAGACAAAAGCAGTACGTTGTCATCCAAAAAGTAATAATATTCCACTATGTAAATAGAAAAAATTCATCCGTACTTGATGTTTATATGAACATTATTAATTACCATGACTAAGTAATAAATTTGTGTTGAGAATGAGTATTAATTAAAATTAATTATGCAAAAACATGTCATATATTCATTACTTTGGTGTAAATTCTAAACAAATTTTTCCTGAAAAAATAGAGGTGGCTGAGTGAAGGACGTGAATTAAGCAGTATTTAATACTTAAACTTGACAGGTTACACTTAATCTACCTCACACGACATGACAACATTATACAGCTATAGCACCCTCAGATTAACTAACAAACTATGGAGTATATGTTTATTTTAATATATACAGTTAGCTACTACTACATATATAATAATAATATACCCAGCTTTTTAAATAATGCTAAACCGAGAAGATAGGAAAAAGTGTCAAAATAAACTACTCCATAAGAGATAAGCCTATTAAATATTGGCAAATGGGAAACTAAGGGGTGAGTGCGACGTTTAAGCAGGAAAAGACTTATACTACAATACGCGCTGACAGTTAAGAGGACAACAAGTTTACATTGTATCAAGGCTGGAAACAAGTGTACCTCGTACCAATTACTACAGTATTAAAATCATATAAAATTCAGGCTTTCAAAAAAACCAGTAAATGATTTATGGAGTAATAATAATTACCAGGAAACTGAAGATGGAACCAAATCCAATTACAAGGAATCGACCCAGATATGAATCTGCAATGAAAGCTCCAACTAGTGGCAAGAAATTTGTAGCTGATGACCAATAAAAGAGTAAATTTTGAGCTGTAGTGACTCCCATTCTGTAATCTTTCATCAGATAGAATGTCATGTTGGGTAAAAGTCCATAACTTGCCACCTTCTCCAGTGACTCGTTTGCTGTGTTGACAACGTAAAACCCAAATTTGCATCATGTTAATTACCCACAAATAGCTAGTAATTCAGTTTATAATGATGTCTAACATATATAAACAAAATTCCGCAGTAAAGAGTTGAAAAGAACAAAAATAAAAAAAATTTAAAACTAATTATTCCCTCCGAGGAGAGAGAAAATTTACTTTTTATATATATATATATAAGATGCTACTAATAATATAAGATGCTACTACTAATATATAATTATTTTTTAAGATGCTTCTACTAATATATAACCATTTTTTTAAAACTATATATAGAGGGAATTTTTGCCGAACTTTACGGGTACCGATGACCCCTAATTTTATAATATAGTTCTGACTCTGACTATAAGTCACTATGGAAGCAGCCACTACTGTTTGCATCAAGGTAGTGCCTACATTGTATCCTA